TAGAAGTTAATCCGCGAATCATTAATAATCTAACATTATTTGGATCATTTTCTAATAAACTGTTTATTTCTTCATATTCAAATTAGCTTCAATACGACTTAACATCATCTCTTTACTGTTTGGCTCAGCTTCTAGTTCTTTATTCAAATCTGCGAATGCTTCTTGGTATTTATTCAATTTTAATTAAATTCTTCCACAGATATTTACTGCATTTAAATTATTTGGCTCAATTGCTAATACTTTATTTATATCTAAAAGAGACTCATCATATCTCTTTGTATCATAGTAAATGCCTGCATGAATAAATAATAAAGAAATGTTGTATTGTAAATCTTCTAGTACTTAATTCTTTATTAAACGAATTGAGAATAATTTCGTAATGTTCAATATCATGATCATTGTTAATTAATCGATAACTTCAGTAGAGCTTTTATAATTATTAACATCCTAATTAAAATAATGTTAATACAATAAATAAAATATATTTCTTTGATATATTACTAAATTACATATGAATAGCCTTGATTTAAAATAATTTCATCAATTTCTCTTGATTTCTTTTTAGTAGACTTCATTTCGGAGTAAATTCAATCCAAAATTCGTATTTTCGCCTCTGGGCATTAAATGAAAATATCTGTGTATACTGGAGTTATTATGCATAGCACGTGACTCATACAAAGATGATATGTTGAATTAAATATTTATATATAATTATTAAGCACAGCTTATGGTAAGTTATGTTGAAAATATTGTGTACAGCTATTAAGTACAGCATGAGCTTATATAAAAAAATACTAAATTAAAAAAAGGACAGTTCTATGTTGTATTTAAATACTTTTTTTTAAAAAAAACAAATTTAAACTTTTGAACTTATAATCAAATCAATTTTAAAAATTTTAAATCTGAAATCTTATTTGTTTAGAAGTGCTTATTTATGTATTAATACTATTTATATAAAAAAATCTTAAATAAATTAACATTGCTTATATATGAAACCTAATATTTTGTTTATTTAATTGTTTAAATAAATTTTATTGTTAAGTTACTAAAGTTTTTTAATGTTTTTTTTTGTTTAAACTTCAAGTATCATATATATGTAAGTAGTTTATTAATATTATTATTACTAATAATTATTTTTTAAAGTTAACATTAATTGTCAAAAGAATAATAGTTATGTATTAACTTATAATAATTAAATTTATTAAAATGTAAATTATTGAAAATAAAAAAGTATTATGTATATGTTAAATTAAAATTTATATCAGGTTAAAATTTAAATATTTGAGCTAAAATAAAAATTTATACTAAAAAAGTAATTAAATCTATTGTTACTATTAAATAGAATAGTTAAACTAATTTAAATTCTAAAGATGGTATTTATATTATTTCTTTCTTTTATTAATTTATCTAATTTATTATTTTATTTATTATTATTATATTTATTTATTTTAACTAAGTCTAATTCTAGCTTTTTTAATATCAAGTAGTTCTATTATACTTTTTTTCAAATTGTAGTATTTTTATATAATCTATTGTCTATTTGTCTTTAGTTTTTTTCTTTATTAAGAACTAATATTTCTAATATATTATATATATAAATCTTAATTTTGTTTTTTTTAATATTATTAAAAATATAAGCCAAATAGCTAATAACTTTAATTTTGTTAATAAAAGTCAGTTTTGGACACAAATAATATCTTTGTTTATTATTATTTTCTTCTTTGTTTATTTATATTTAACTTGCTTCTATATAATTATTATTTGTATCTATTCTTGTTATTAACTTTAAAAGAAGAGAATTATCTATATAAAATATAAACTTTTTATTAATTTTAGTTAATTCTTTTGGTTCTTAAAAATAAAAAATTCTTTTAGATCTTTATTTAGTTACTACTTTTGATTAACTTTGTATTTAAGTTATCACATATTATATTTTTAACTAGATTTAATATTTATCTAATTTACTAATTCTTTTTTTATATAAGTTGCTTATTACCTCTTGGACTAATCTAAATGTTAATTTTTTTTTTTAATAAATTTTTATAAAGAACTTTAAATTTTCTCTTTGTTACTTTATTTTTTGTAATTTTTCTATTCTATTATATGATTAAAACTATATTTTTTTATTTTATGAGTTTTGCTTATTATGTTTTTTCTAAAAATATTTATACTAATTTTTTTTATTATTAAATTATTTGTTTCTTTTCTTTTAAATAACTTTAATATTATTTATTCTTTTTTTTGTTATCTTTTGAACAAATATTAAAAAATGTTTTTTATTTCTATTTAATAAAATATATTTTGTCTTTAACTGTTTATTACTCTTGTTTTTTAATAACATATTTAAACTAATATCACAAATTAAAATATTATATACTTATATTACACTTGTAATTTTCTTGACCAACAATATATAAAAGACTTTTATAACTCTTACATTTGCTTATTATAAAAAATACTAATAAAAAACTATATAAATAGTTATTTAAATAAATAAATTATAGCACTTCTATCAATTATATTTTATATTATCAAATTTAAATAAGTTTTAATTATTTAAGCAGATTTAGATTGTAGATAAATTAAATAAAATTAAATAATAATTTTGTTTATAGTTCGAGTCTCATTCTAGTAAAAAATTTGAAAATTAGTTTCAGTCTGTATTAACTTATATAATTATTAATAATAAATTATTAATAAAAATAAAGACAAAACCTTATATTAATATCAAAAAAAAAGAATTTTTTTATAAAATATTATATACAAGTAAATACTTTAATAAATATTATTTTAACTAATCCAAATATTTTGTTTATTAAGTATTTTTTTATAATATATTATATACAAGTAATTATTATAATAAACATTAATTTTAATTAATCTAAATATTTTGTTTATTAATACAAGTTAATAAAAATTATGAGCCAGGATTGATATTAAAAAAACTCAGGCTAATCAATCAGGTTAAGCTTTTTACTAGTGTAATTTTTTTAATTAGAATTAGTTAATATATTTAATTAAATATACAAAAGATTATTAAATAGTTTCTTTATAAATCTAGTAATATTAAATTATTTTAATTTTTATTAAGGTTGTTCTTAATCAAAATTTTAGTATGCTAGTATTTAAAGTTAACCAATTGCCTTGTTATTTATTTTTTTAAAAAAAAATAATAAATAAATTTGCACACCTACTACTATTATAAAAAACTTAAATATCTTATAAAGTTTTTTGTTTATAAAATTTTTGTAACTCATAATATCTTTAAAGTGAGAAATAAGTTTCAATAAAAATAATCCAACAAAAATCTAAGCATCTATAAATAACTTAATAATACCTTCAATTAAACAAATAAACATCTTCAATAGAGTAAATTATAAACATATTAATATTATAATTAATTTTGATTTATTGAAATACAATTCAATAACTGACTAAATCTACTTGAGTAAGAGATGTGATCAATAAATATAATAACTCACAAATTACTGAAATGGATATATATACTTTAATTACATTAATTAATAAATTATAAACATTTATAACAACTATGTCAAAACAATATTAATTGTATTTAACAATATTTTACTAATTGTATATTATAATTACAATGATAATAATCAATAAACTTTAATTTAATATGCAATTGTACTTTTTCAAGACCCAATAATATAAATATAAATGCATAAATGTTTATTCAAAAGTACGAAAATTAGTTCTGATATTTAATGCACTAGTGCATTCGATAAACTGCAATTATTTCTAATTCCCTTTAAGCAACTCAAGCACCTAGTTATTTATAAATGATTCTTTGAGTCAGCATTATGTATGCTAACCAATTTAAAACTAGGTTAAAAGTCTGCATAGGCTCTCTGACTTATTATATAGCCTATGTATGTTCCCATCCCTAATGTAGTTTATGATATGTGTAATGCTCTGAAAGAAACTTCATAGTCAACTTAAAACCGTCAATATTTAATCAATTCAAACAAACATTTTTGTGGTTACAATGAGGGTACTTAGGGAAATTAATGTTATTGACAATCATTAGGATCAATTTATGCGTACTCCGAAATGAACTCTACTGAACAGAAATCAAGAGAAATTGATGAAATTATTTTAAATCAAGGTAATTCATATGTAATCTAGTAATATATCGAAGAAATATAATTTATTTATTGTACTAACATTATTTTAATTAGGTTGTTAATAGTTATGTAAGCTCTACTGAAGTTATCGATTAATTTACAATGATCATGATATTGAGCATTACGAAATTCTTCTCGATTCGTTTTAAAAAAATCAAGTACTAGAAGATTTACAAGACAAGATTTCTTTATTACTCATTCGTGCAGGCATTAATATGATAAAAAGAGATATGATGAGTCTCCTTTATATATAAATAAAGTATTAGAACTTGAGCCAAATAATTTAAATGCAATAAATATCTGTGGAAAAATTTACTTAAAATTGAATAAATACCAAGAAGCATTCGTAGATTTAAATAAAGGATTAAAAGTTGAGCCAAACAGTAAAGAGATGATGTTAAGTTGTATTGAAGCTAATTTGAATATAAACAAGTTCAAAACAAATTTGAAGACATAAACATTTTATTAGAAAATGATCCAAATAATGTTAGATTATTGTTGATTCGCAGATTAATTTTTATGATTTTAGTTCAAAATCAAGAATCTTTAGATGATTTTACAAGTGCATTAGGAATAAAGCAAACCAACTTAGGAATTCGTTTAGAACTGAAAGATATTGTAGAATAATAAACCAAATGATGTGTAATTACAAAGCTGATTTAAATCATTTTAATAAATCCTTAAAAACCAGACCTGGTGATAAAGTCTCTTTAAGTGAATGTGCAAAAACATATAAAATGTTAAATCATTATGAAGCATCCATCAACGATTTTAATAAATCAATTGAAATAGAATCAATTAATAATGTTTACTAGAGGTTGATAGAATTGATTATTATTCTCTTAGTTACTAAGAACGATCTTTAATAGATTTAAATAAAGCTTTGGAAGTTTCTCCCGATGATAGAATAACCTTGGCTCGTCGTGCAGATGCATATCGTGTATTGGAACGTCAATGCTTTGTTAGAAACTGATTCATATGATGAATTTGTTTTACATATTCGTGGCGAATGTTTATTTTGTCAAAAATTACTTATTTCTTAAAAATCAGCTAAGTAACCATCTTTAGTGATCTAAAAAGAATTTTTTACGTTGAGCAATTTTACTGTATAAACTACTTCCCTCTAATTCCTAAAGCTGACCTTAACATAAAGAATTTTTGCTACGTCACGAACCTGGTACACATTCAAGTAATGCAAAATTCTTAAAACTCATTGCATAACGATAAATACTAACATTCATATTTAAATTAGAATTAACAAGATGGTGAATCGTTTAGGAAAATTTTTTTTATTGGATAAATTTGACAAAATAATTAACTTTGACAAAACGAACGTTTGCTTTGGATTTTTCTGATCATGTCACATTAAATATGATTCTAAAAATTTATTTGTCCTTCAAAGATCTGCGCCACTATCCATTACATGCACAATAGTCAACAACATAAATGCAATTTCACGTCTTAAATCATATTGTATATAATTACGTATCTATATTCAACAAGTTGATCGACAATACACGTGATTAAATTAAGCAATCTAATTGGACAATCTTGAACAAAGAACTTACAGTTAAAAGATATACAAAATTGATCTCCATTGTGTACACTTTACTGTAGTATAGT